ATTCTGGGGGTTGAAGTCCACACCTCTTAAAGTTGTCGAGGTTGAGAATCACTGACCTACATCAACCAGATTGCCATTAAAAGAAGTCATCTATTTACTAAACCTAAAATTGTCTGTGTGGAAGCATTTCAAAGAAAAAAAAATATTTAGAAACCTCGACAGTCCAGGAGCCTCCATGGGGAGTTGGGGTGGGGTGTCAAAAGAGTCAATATTCCTTAATGGTTTTAAAGTAAGTTTTTTTAAAAAATGCAGGTAGGGCCCTGCACGGTACCGACTTGACTTTTTTGACCCCCCCCCACTTTGCATTTTTTACAGGTAAGTTTCTCCACGTAAATACGTTGTAAAAAGCTCGTCAGATGCCATGAACGTGAGTTCATCGGATCAGGGGCGTCTGCAGGAGGAAGAGGGTTTGTCATAAGCCAGGATGACCGCTGCAACTGTGCAATTGAAGCCCCACCCTCTCTTTACGTGGGTGGTGTAATAGTGGGTGTCATCTTGATGTTATTGACCCCTCCCCAAGGATGCTTTTGACAGCCCCCCCCCCATTTTGTCCTGCAAGCCTACAAGGAAGGACAAGCAGATAGAAGGGGTGAACGGTGAACGGTTGTGCCCTTCACAAGCACACACGTGTGTGTATGCGTACAAAGGACACACGCATGCCCACACTTCAACCCCATAGCCCAGCCCTCATCAAAGAATTTCTCCAGACAATCATTTGGGTCTTTTACGATTGGAGAAAACCTGCCCAGGTCTTGCCCTGCTTTTCTGCGTGGGCCGAGGAAGAAACAGAAGACGGAAACTGCCAGCGCCGAACGCCTTAGAGAGGGATTAACCCCACCGAGCGATGAAACGCCGTTTCCCCACGGGTCCTGTGGACGCTCGGTTGGCCTCCACAGTCCGAGGGAAGGTGTAAGGCAGCATTTTTCAACTCTGGGAACTTTATGAGAGGTGGACTTCAACTCCCGGACTGTGGGCGTCCCGCAGAAATTCTGGACTGTTGCCCGTCGGCTACACCCTCGTCCGGGTTGGGCTGCAGCGGCCAGGGACAAAAAGCACTTTGCCCAACCTTC